TGAGAAATCCATTTATGGATTGAAACAAGCATCTCGCAGGTTGAATCTTTGTTTCAATGAGAAAGTCAAAGAGTTTGGCTTTTTGAGAAGCAATGATGTTTCATGTCTATATGTCAGAGCTAGTGGGAGTATAGTTAGCTTTTTGTACTGTATGTGGATGTCATACTACTCATAGGAAATGACATCCCAACCTTACATGAGGTGAAATCCTGGCTTGGGAAGTGTTTCACGATAAAGGACCTTAGAGAAGTTGTCTATATCCTAGGGATAAGGATATTGAGAGACAGGAGTAAGAGACTAATTGGACTTAGTCAAAGTACTACTAGAATTCCAAGAAAGTTGACTTACCGATCCAAAGCAATGCCAACATGAGTAAGACTCAAAGTGGGAGTATAGAGGTTGAGATAGTTGAGATGAGTTGATTGCCATATGATTCAGCAACTGGCTCGGTCATGTATGCAATGACTTGTACTCGCCCTGATGTGGCCTTTGCTTTAAGCATGGTTAGCAGATATCAGGGGAACCCTGGTAAGTCTCACTAGACTGCGTTAATAAATATTCTCATGTACCTACAAAGGACTAAGGATTATGTTCTTATCCTTGGTGGGAGTGATGACTTGAGAGTGACAAGGTATAGTGACACCAGCTTTCAGACAGACAGAGATTATTTTCGCTCTCATTCGGGCTGGGTATTTACCCTGAATAGAGGAACAGTTACTTGGAAAAGTTCCAAGTGGGAGACTCTAGCTGATTCAACGTGCGAATCATAGTACATAGTAGCAATCGAAGTGGCGAAGGAGGCGATATGGTTGAAGAACTTCATTAGATACCTTGGAGTTGTACCAACTATAAAGGAGCCTATGGAGATTTTCTGTGACAACGATAGTGCGGTTGCCTTAGCCAAGGCACCAAGGGATCATGGTAGATCTAGGAACACTAACAGAAAATATCACTTCATAAGACACAAGATAGAAGAAGGAATCCTGGTAGAAAAGAGGGTATCGTCAGAAGAGAACCCAGCATATCCCTTCACGAAGGGACTGAGTAGGGTTAAGCATTTAGAGCATGCGAGGCGCATCGGGCTGAAGGACGATATTAGTTTTAATGATTAGATAGTTATTTTTTGAACTTGTAATATATAAAATGTAATTGACATTTGATGATTAAAGAAAAGTTGTTGTTTATTTATGAGTAAAGTTACTATCTTGTTTCAATTGTTTTCTGTTGTTTCAATTTTGCATGTTTTGCCTTCTAGGATAATAAGATTATTCAAACTATCCACAGTCAATCATACTTTGGAAGTAGGTATTGAATCAAGACTATCATGAATTGGGATTGTAGATGTCTGAAGTGTTTAGACATAGTAAAAGTTGCTACAACATACATGAGTGCTCATAAGTTCTGAGTATTGGATTAAACCCACGCTCACTTGTATCACTTCATGGAATTTATCTCGAGTGATCGTGAGATAATAATATCATATAAGTCTTCAAACCAAGAGGTATGAGTTGTAGACTATAAGTTGGTTGTGCATTGATAGTATGAAAACGCATCAATAACTTGATGTTATAAAGCATGCTATTATGTAGGATTTGGCGAATAGTTAGTACAAGCATATGAGTCAAAGTTTATATCTTCCTTTTAGTCCTCGGAGGATTAAAAGCGATATCTTGGGACCCTCGATGATTTTGTTTTAACTTATGTGTCGGACCCGGTCAGAACTAAATTGATGTGTTCGATAAAATTCTATGTCAAATAAATCGGAAATCGGGAAACAAACTGTTGGACATTAATTATGAAGTTGTTCCATGTATTTGTCTGGCTGATATCTTGAGAACACAAGATTATATGATCACTTTTCTGAAATTGCGCGTCTTAGTTTGAGAAAGTTTTAAGAGCTACTATTGTTGGTTGGTTCTTGAAGTCGTACTTGTAACTATAGTTATTATACTTATCCAAGTGGGAGACTATTGGATAAGGTGTCTATGTCCATAATTATATTTGGTATGTACTTAGGGGCAGACGCATGATTTCACAGTAGGGGATGCACGGGGAAGTTAGGGGTTGCACAATAGTAGAAAAAATATAAATTTTCGAAAAGTTTTCCACTGTGGCCGGAAATGTTAGGGGTTGCCAGTGCCACCAGTGAGCCCCTGAATCCTCCCCTGTATGTACTTGACCCGATTTAGCATGGTCCATTTGGGTTGCATTTCATCGGAACAATTTGTAACGCTGGACTTTCGAGAAGAGGATATTTATGATTTATTAATATATTATAAGTTCTAATATATTAATATGAAATCATCTTATTAGCATTGGTCAAGAATTAATTTTGAATTAATTTAGTGATCAAAAGGAGACTAATTAAATATGGATTCTTATAGAATGGGCCAATGGTTACTTAGGATGAGCTAAACCATTATGGAAGTCCATGGATAGTCCATGTAGGTTTTTACCCATGGATCCTATGTAATATGAAAGGTCATGGGCATTAGGGTTTACATGGATGTAACCCTAATCATGCCACACTATATAAGGAACCCTCTAGCTACTAAAATGGGCACTAGCATGTATGTGTGTGTGAAGAGCATAACCGATTTTGTGTGCAAATATACTCTCTCTCAAGTCTTCCAATTGTTAGTGGTGATTTTTGGTTCCATTTGAGGTATTCACATTATTGGTGCTAGGCTCTTAAAGCTCCAAGTAACAACCTACAAGAAAGGTATGTTATCTAACTAGTTTTATTATACAAGTATCAGAGTTTTGTATGCTAGTTAGGGTAATGCTTTGGAAAAATCAAATTGCATGTATAAATAGAGAAAACATGGATCCAAATCATTTAGGGTTGTATGTGCACCATAAGATTGTTAGGGTGCTCAAAACCCATCGATACGTTGATTCTCTCAAACCGATGATCGAATGTCTGTGTTATTCTCCACTTGCTTAATCCCTAAATATAGATGAGTGTATACCATTGGTTCATTTGTCCAGGGCTTAGTCCTCAGCAATCTACAACCATAATGAACGCATGATTATCTTTGAAGTCGATTCCAACAAAACCTCCATCTCCAAGGCCCGATTTGCCAAGATGCTAGGGTTTACTTCTACAGAAGGTCTCGTCGACCCTAAATCGATTTCTTCAATAGCTATTATCAAGATGTTCTTTCAAATGGGGTATCTTGAAATTTTCACTCTACTATCAAAGTTCATGTAGCCTAATCTTCCTCCTATGTGGAATGGGCTTTTCACTTTGTTATTTAAAAGCTTTTTTGAACGTGTCATTGGGCCTGATAGTGCCTGCAAGCTATTTTGCACTATTATCTATGGTTTGTACACAGGAATTAACCTTGATTACGGTTCGATTCTTTGGTCACAAATGATTCAGAGCATCCTCTCTACCACCATGCATTTAGAGATTTCTTGTGTGTGATTCTGGCCCATTATCGTCAAGCGTGATTTCACTCGCCTCACCATTCAATTGACGGATAACTCTGTAATGGTTGTGGTTCTAATCCTAGATACTTCTAACGTTATTGTGTCTGACCCAACAAATTTCAGATTCAATGGATCAATTCCATAGGTCATGCTCGCAAGGGTGCCTCAAACCAATGTTGTTATCATAGCATATCAAAAGCCACCTCCATCAGGTTCTAATCCCATGACTGATAAAATGCGAACAGCTCTTGATGTGGCAAACAAACCTAAACAAGGGGAAAATGAAAGGGGAAGGCAGTTCCTTCCGAACATGCCCCAACTCTGAAGAAGAAAGTTAAGAAGGTTGCTCGGAAACCAAAGTCTCCTTCTCCAGTTGTTGAGGAGGATTCAGAATCCCATACTGTTTCAGACGTTTAGAGGAGTGAACCTGTTACAAATGAAACAGAACATACAGCAACTAGTTCTGAACATTGGTGTTGGAACCTACTCTAACTGAATGTACTCCAAAGGTATCTTCTTCTATTTCCACTTCCATTCCTTTAATAGATGATCTCTTTAACTTGCCTACACCTCCACCTTCTCCGAATAGCACTTCATATCCAATCAATACGACTACACCTATCACCATTGCTCCATTACCCAAGATTTTGTTGGTGTTTCTCAACCATAGATATATGTTCCTTTATCTACTCCCATATATATCGATTCCATAGCAACCACAACCACCATCAGTACTCTGATGTCGGTTGTCAACGTATATGATAGGAGGGCTTCTGATTTCGGTGTCACTGTCGTTCCAAGCACCTCTCCTACTTCACCTTTAAGAGAAGATGATCTTGAAATCATCTTTGCGGATGAACATGATAATTTTCAACAATTCATTTTTACTCCTTTCACATTTCATCAAGAAAGTGATGATGATGATGCTCCAATCACGAAAGGGCAGTTCAAAGCCCTCAATAAAAAATTGGATTCTTTAATAGAGTCTTCAAAATGTTTGTTGAATTATTACTATTTGTTTAAGGGTCGTAAAGAATTCATTGATAAATTGAGGAAGGAGCATGCCAAAAACCTCGCGGACTCCGAAAAAGCTGTTGAAAATTCTGAGAAAACTGTTCGGGAAATGACCAAAAAGTTCAAAAAAACTACTTTCTGATGTTACACAATTCATGGCAGACTTCCAAACCTCTTTGGTTCGAAATACTGAAGCTGCAAACAAAGATATTGCAGGTCTCGGAACCTCCCTTCAACTTGAAAAACATGCTCTATTTAAGGTTTGTTCTGAACTCAATATTGATAATGCTGAGATGAGCGCTATGATTGTATCCCAAATTGAGAAAATTCAGGAGGATCTAGAAGCTGAAAATATGATAATGGACAAATTCTCTCAGAAGACTAAAAAAGTCAAAGTTCTCTCTGTTAAGCTGAATTATGCCACAACGCGTCTAGATCACCTCGAATCTGAGAATACTTTATACCGAAGCTATATTTCTGACATCAATCAATATTTTCCAAGTCTTCTCAAAAATCACTCTATCCGTCAACACCTCTTGGATACACTCAAGATGGTTTTCACATTGCTTAACCAATTAGACGGTGTTTCGGGAAGCAGTGCTCTTCCGAAACAAGGGGGAGATCAGGTTACCAAATAAACTCGCAAAGAAGAACCCCAATCCCAACCCCAGTTTAAGCCAAAATCAAATGAGCATCATAAAGAAAAACCAAAAGTTAACCAGAAGGGTAATGAAGGTTTTGGATCAAAAGGCAAAGGAAAAAATGATTGATGATGATGAGGAGGAAGAATATGTGTTATCTAAAAGAGAAAATCTTATTAGGAAAACGAGGGATAAAAATCTCAATGAAATTGAGCGTGTTCGTAAAGAACTTGAAGCTTAAGAAAGGGAGGCTATGGTTGTGAAATTGACTTTGAAAACCCAAGAGCCCCTTTTTCCTCCATGGACCATGGAAAGGATTCAGAATGAGGCTATCGAAAATCCAAGTTTGTATTGGTTGGAGCTTTTAGTTTCGTTTGATCTGGTGAATTCACGGAGTCTCAGATTAACTTTCTAGTCACTCGGAGACCATTCTCATTCAAATGCTTGAAGCATATCGAGAGAGAAACACTCTCGTATTATGATGTCAATCGCATTCTCTTCTCTTTCTACATCAAGTATGGAAAGCCTCAACTTCAGATTTGGAGCATGCAGAAGTTGGTTGCAGTCAAGGTTTATGCATATTTTCCAATTAAGAACTTCACAAATGTCAGGTTTAAAGGTTTCAGAGGATCAAGTCGTATCGAAGTCAAGTTCACTCTTGCAGATTTGCCATGTATGAATCCGAATGACTGGATCTCTTTGTTTTTTATTTTATCTAAGGATGAACAGAAGTTCAAACCAATGATTCTCACCTTAAAAGAATGTTGATATGCTACATTCAAGAAGTGGCAAAGATGGATGTAGGAATTGTTGCTATTTTGAAAAAGAAGCCTGTTGTGAATCCCGAACAAGAACCAAAGGACTTCCGAAATCCGAAACTAGGGAAGATTAATAAAGAAAACAAGAATGTTTTGTATCAACGAAGAGAAGGTGAAAAAGTTGTGAAAATAGGTTTTTCTTACTTGACAAGCATTTATACCGCACAACTGCTTTGAGCAACATTTTAGGTCTGGTGGCAGCCACCAAGTCAAATAACGCTAATGATTTGAAGTGATTCACGTACATGATCAAGTGGTATCTCATGTTCCAAAATTCTCTTCTGAATATGATGACGAAGCTATTCCAGGTTCAGAAAGTACAACAATAAAGAATATCCTTTCTTTATTTGACACAAAGAGAAAGATTGTTGGGTTAATTGTTGTGTTGTGTCAAATTTATTGTGTACGTATTTAGTCTTTATTAAAGGATTGGGTCTATCCAGCCATCATTATGGTGCTAGGGTTAGACAATTTATAATGCATGCATGTATCGCTCTAGGGTTAATCGAAGGTATTGCCATAAATTGCTTTTACAGAAAAGTTATCACTGAACTCTTCTAAAGCTTTCATAATATTAACCATTTGGCACATCTTTGATCATTGTTCTTATTATTTGATTCACTTTCCTATTATTGAATCTATCGATCTTTAAGTTATTGTTTCAACATTTCCCTATAATGGGGCGAGAAAGGGAAATACAAAAGCTATCAAGGATTATGAATGTTCTTGGAATTATCAACGAATTTGACGATGAACCAGCAAGCAGTGATGCATCTGAAAACGCTTCTTCACTTTCAATGGATAAAATCATTATAATTGCAAATCAATTGCCTCTAAAATCCAAAAGAAGACCTGATAATAGAATTTGGAGTTTTACTTGGGATAATGACTCTCTCCTTCTACGACTCGAAGATGGTTTTCCTGATGATATGGAAGTTCTATATGTTGGCTCCTTGAATGTCGATGTTGATGGCATTGAACAAGATGATGTTGCTCAACTCTTGTATAAAGATTCATTTGTATCCCAACTTTTCTTCCTCCTAGCCTCATTGACATGTTCTATACTAGGTTTTGCAAGAAACAGTTGTGGCCTCTATTTCACTACATGTTACTAATTTCAGCTGATCATGGAGGTATATTTGATCGATCTATGTGGGAAGCCTATGGCTATGCCATGACATCCCCAAATTCGCGGTCATTTTAAAAGTTTTATTTATGCTTATTTAAAAATCAGAGTATTCATTTTAAAGAATAATATTGCAGAATTTGTTCCTAGAAAAACATGATAAATATATTATAAAAGCATTTCTAAAGAAATGTATTTTGTTTATATAAAAACATTAGGATGTCATCGTCAATACAAAAACATAAGCATAAACATACCTTACATTCATTTACACTGATCATGTACATCTCCTTTAATCTCTCATTGTAATGTAACTTCATATCGACACTTGTGATACAAATAAACTGAGTGAGTCAGGCTGGGAAACTTGGTGAGTATATAGGGATTTCAATCCCACAATGTTATATCATATATATATATATATATATATATATATATATATATATATATATATATATATATATGTTTTAGGACTCACAATATATATAATTTCACCTCGTATAAGCAATTTTACCCCCACCCCGTCAATCCTCACAACGACATGATCTATACTCTCAGATCTAAAATTAAACTATTAACCTAATCCATACTCCCAGATCAGGTATGTCTAATACATACTTTCGGATCAATAACTATGCCCATTCCATACTCTTGGACTAGGGAAAATTGACTATGTCTAATCCATGCTCCCGGGTTAATGACAACTAACTATGTCCTCTCCATACTCTCAGATTAAGGACAAATGATTATGTCTAATCCATTCTCTCAGATCAATGGCAAGTTTTAATGTTCTACCCTTTATGTATAACTCACTCGTACTCATAAGGAGATACTACCCAATATTGCTCTTAATTAATTTAGGTTTACTCTGTATCCTAAATCATCATATATTATCAGATTTGCTCTTAATATGTATTTCAAGCAATATCAAATGTTTCACACACAAGCATACAATTAATACTTTAATCAATACTTGTGTTAAAATCTTGTTCATGAAAGGGACTGTGTATTCACTTGTTAAAGTGATGATTCAAAATTCGGGCATCACTTCGCTTCTAACAATTCTATTTTCCTTTAACAAAACCTAGTATCATTACTGATAGATTTTAGTCTAATATTTATAGCGACTATTTACAGGCGATATGTTTTTTATAAGTGTTAAACAATAATTTTCAACTACTATGTACAAAACAGGAGCTAGACATGAAACATTGTAGGCCAGCCATGACCATTTTGGCATTTAAGCACTTCTGTAATCTAACAGCCCTATGCATCTTTTCAAACCAGATTCCCCATACCGTGAGTAGTTAAAAGATATTATAATAACACTTTGTATATTATATTTTATAATATATGTATTGTTTATAAGTTCATAATAATGCGAGCCTTCTGTCGCTCTGGGACTCGCCTCTAGCACTCGGGAAGTGCTAGGGAATGGTAGCGGCTAAGAGGGGTGTTTGAGAGAGAAAGAATGGAAAAGGTGTGAGTTTCTAGGGTGATTTACGCCTTTATTTATAGGCTGAGTGCGGTTCAAACGCGGGGGGTTCATGGCCACGTGTCATCATCTGGTGCCAAGCCATGGTGAGGAAGCAGTGGCCTAGATCGTGCCACGTGTCGCTCGCTGGTTACTCCAAAACTAATTATCTTCTAAAATGCATAACTTTTTCATACGAGCTCTTTTTTGACGTTCTTTATATCCACGCCTAGGTATCGACGGGATCTACAACTTCTGTTTAGTCTATATTGGCTAATTTTGACTTTATTTTTAAAGTTATATTTTAAAATACTTAAACAGTTAAAATCCATTAAAAATTCATAACTTTTTCATATGATGTCCGTTTTCAACTGTCTTTATATCGTTGAGCTCCTATTAATGAGATCTTCAATTGTCGTTTAGGTTGTGTCGGCTAAAAAATGATCGATCTAAAATTCAATTTACGGGTTATGCATTGCTATGCTAAATTTTAGAAAAATTGTAACTTCCTCAAACTAAGTCAAATTTGGACATTCTTTTTTTTATGCTCTCGGTTTAACGTATACTATGACTTTCAATTAGATTTCTAAGGCTAAAAAGTAATTTATCAAAAATTCACTTTTTACGATTCCCGGTGTTGTGTCAGTTTTGCCATAAAACTTAGAAAGGTCATAACTTCTTCGTTATAACTCGGATTTCGGCGTTCTTTATATGTACAAAGCCCTTCTGATATATACTATAACTTAGCTAAGATTATTTATTCTGAATAATCTTTTATCAAAAATTCATTTTTAACGCTTATTATCTCTAAATTGACTAGCCCGAATCTGCGAGCGTTACATCTGCAAACAAATTCTTTTCCCAGAAAGTAATCGAAATCATAACTCCAGAAGATGATTTTGTTTGGATCCATGATTATCATCTAATGGTGTTACCTAATTTCTTGAGAAGACAATTTAATCGTTTACGAATGGGGTTCTTCCTCCATAGCCCATTCCATTCTTCAGAAATTTACAAAAAACTTCCTGCTAGAAAAGAAATCCTAAAAGCTCTACTTATTTCAGGCCTAATCGGATTCCACATCTTTTATTATGCCTGTCATTTCCTTTCCTTGTGAAGCCGGATGCTTGGATTTGAATACCAATCAAAAAGAGGGTACATAGGATTAGATTACTACGGAAGAACAGCCAGAATCAAGATAATGCCATTTGGAATCCACAAGGGACACACAGAATCCATGATGAAACTTGTTGACAAAGAATCCAGAGCAAAAGAACACAACCAACAATTTGAAGAAAAAACTGTGTTGCTGGGAGTTCATGACATAGACATCTTCAAAGGCATTAATCTGAAGCTTTTAGCAATGGAACAAATGCTGAAACTACATCCATATTGGTGAGAAACTGTTGCTCTTGTCCAAATTGCAAATCCAACTAAGGGTAAAGGTGGCATAGATTTGGATGAAATAAAAGATGAAATACAAGAAAGTTGTAAACATATAAATGAAGAATTTAGTAAACTTGGGTATCGACTAATTATTTACATAGACAAACCATTGTCAGTTGGTGAAAGGGTTGCTTACTATAGCATAGCTGAATGTGTAGTGGTGAAATCTGTAAGAGGGTGGAATGAATTTAACTCCGTATGAATACATCGTATGCCAAGAAGGAATTCCCTATTCTGATTCCGATTTCGATTTTGATTCCGATCCCAAGAAAAGCATGCTGGTGGTGTCAAGATGTGGAGTAGGAGACGTGTGGTCAGTGTGGTGATTTTGGGTGGATGGATATGGTTAACCTATGATGAAACTATATATACATATTTAACTGATGTATCTTCTATAGAAACTAAAGAAAGTGCTTTAGTTTGGCAATATAGAGATGCATATCCAGGGTTTCGATTTGCTCAAGCAAAAGAGATGCTTGATCATCTTGAAAGTGTTTTGGCAAATGAACATGTTGTTAAAAGTGGTCAATATATTGTTGAAGTCAAACCTCAGGCACCTCCTTTGTCCTAATTCACTTTTTACTGTTATCCATTTTGAAATTGTATTGAATATTGACCTATTTTGTTTTTCTTGCAGGAAGCAAGTAAAGGTCTTGTTGTGGAGAAGATCTTCACATCAATGGATGAAAATGGGAAACCAGTTCATTTTGTGCTTTGTGTGGGTAATGATCGATCTACTGAAGATATGTTTGAAATAATCGAGAATTCAATTTCAAGAAAAGAAAAATATTATCTTGATGACACCAATGAAGTTATTTTAATGCTTGAAAGTATGGTTGAAGCTAGTGACTCTCCTGCTTTATCTAAAGATGAAAATTACGGGTCCCGTTATCCTTAAAAAACTTTAATTTTTTTAAAAACTAGTACTTATTATTATTATTATTATTTCGATAGAATAATTGTTTATTCAGTGTCTATACACATTCTTTTACATAGATGGGGTTGTAGGTTTAGTGTATTTTATTCAAGATTTGGTAGTTAGTGTACTTTTCTTTCATTGATTTGTTTATTGAAGCATTATAATTTTATTTCCTCTTATTATTTGAATAATTTATAACAATAAATATAAAGGAATTTTCACTATAATGATTGGATAGATATTTCAACATTATTATAATTTCTTAATAAGAAAAAAATTAATGTACGATGTTATTTAGGTTTAAAAAAGAAAAGTTTAAGTATAATTCTATAAATGTGTAGATTTTTTAAAGTACAATGCTATAATCAGAATTCTATTAAGGGTTATTCAAATAACTCTCTTATCCTTTCACAAAAAAGAAAACCTATAAATCATGCATCTACCATGATTTCTCACCCAAGGCAAGATACACTGCTCATGGAACATATGATTACATAGTGTCACCATCACCACTTGTTTTGCTTTGAAGTCTTCTAAGCATATGACACATCTTTTATTATCATAATCATCACCTTCCCTGTATACTTCTTTTGTGGTCTTTCCACCATCCTTTTGAGAGTAAAATCTAACCAACCTTTGTATAATCTTCTTTCGAATAGGATTGTAAATATCTTTCCTAAGCTTCTCTAAAGCTTGTGTTTGATTGTTTGAATCACGTGTTTGTGGTTGTGTTTGTGTTTCTGATCGATCCATTTCTCTTAACCTCAAATCCGTATGGTTTGCCAAATTATTTAGCAACACCACAAGATGCATTCGAGGTTGTGGAAAACTGCAAAAATTTGCATTCAACAATTTGTATGGAAAATACGATTTAAAAAAACTATATTACTATGATGATCATATAACTTTTTAAGTAAAACAATCTAAATATAAATATGACCTCAATATATTTCCATATCAAGTAGTAAAGAGAAGGAAAAGTCATTAAAAGATGAGTATGGGAGACTATAAGAAAGGGGATCACCTCATTATGGAGGAAGGTAAAATGAAGATTCTATCCTTGAGCGACCACAACCATGGATCGTTACAAACACTCTCATTCTGCAAAATGAAATATTTATGTTTAATTCGGGTGATTTAAAAGTGACATGTTAAAATAATTTATCCACACATGTTTATAAGCTTGGATTTATTTGGATTTATAAAATACAATGAGTAAGTACTATAATAAATAGAGCAACGTAGTAAATAAGTTAATGAAATTAGACATTACATCCAACAATCAAGTTTGACTGGAATACATAATTCGGCCGAATTTTCATATGAGTTTTTTTTTTTTGTATATAAAAAGAAAATATCTTCAAAAATTCTTATATTTAGACTTCATAACTGCTTTAGACTTTATTATTATTTTTTTTAGTCAATTGATTTTCAAAACAGAAAAATATATTCATTTTGACCCTTTTATTTGGTCGACAGGTCATCCAACTTTTAAAAATTACATTTTTGGCATTGAATTTAACTTTTATTACGAACTTAGTCCAAAATTTACACTTTTGGTCCAAATTTTAAATTTTATTACAAACTTGGTCCAAAGTTTACACCTTTGGCCCAAGTTTTAAATTTTATTACAAAGTTAGTCAAAATTTTATACTTTTGGCTTAGATTTCAAATTTTATTTATAAATTTATCCTAAAAATGTATATAAACATATTTTTATAAAAAAAATGCATACCCATACGTGTTTTATATAAAGATATACAAACACGTTTTTATAAAAAAAAAAAAATCAAACACGTTTTTATCAATTAATGTATACTAACACCTATTTTATAGTAAACATATTTGCATATAATTATGTTTTATATGCACAAATAGGTGTTGTATATATGTCTCTTATAAAAACATCTTTCGATACATTTTTTTTATAAAAGTGTATTAGTATACTTTTTTTATAAAATCGTGTTTGTATACAATGTATTTTTTATAAAATAGGCATGCATAAAAAATATATATATACAAATACACTTGTATAAAAGCGAAATATATACAAACCTATTTTTGTGCACATAAATAAATACAACTATTTTTTACTATGGAATAGGTGTATGTATGTATATTTTTAATAAAAGAATGTGTTTGTATAATTTTTTTAAAAATATGTATTTGTATATATTTTTTTATAAAAACATGTTTGTATAAAATTGTATTTATTATAAGATAGGTCTTTGTATAAATATGATTTTATAAAGCAATATAACATAATCGAAACAAAATTTTGAAAAAAAAGGTGTAAAAAACTAAATTTATGATGAAATTGTAACAAAATTTTGAAATCTAGGCAAAAAGTATAATCTTTGGACCAAATTTGTAATAAAATTTAAAATTGAAATCTAAAGTGTAATTTTTGAAAGTTGAATGAATTGTTCACCGGATAAAATTGTCAAAATGAATATATTTTTCGGTTTTTTGGCCATAATTGACTAAAAAAAGATAATGAAAAATCAGTTATGAGGCCATAAAGAGTTCTTAGTAGATTTTTCAATATGTTTAGTATTTAGTTTAATTTAGATATGTTCTTTCAAAATAAAGTTTATTTTAGATATTATTTTAAATATAAACAACAAATCGTTTATTTAAAAATATAGAACTAATTACACGTAAGAAAGACTTATCAAAGCTTAAATAAGAATACAATAAAATATATTATTAGTTTTTTGTTATAAAATAATATGTTAATTAATTTATGAGATGAAATTATATTTGTGTCAATAAATATTGCATCGATAAGAAACTATGTTATTTCACTCCATCTCATGGAATATAAAAATACACATTGGCTAAAGAATGAAATTAAGAAAACTAAAAAAATCGAAATTTCTTTACTGGTTACCCTTATAAATACAAACAATTTTTTCATTTAGGGAAAAACTTAGAAAAAAAAGCTCAACATATTTTAATCAAATACTTAAAAAACCATTATATTATTTTTGTGTATGTTAAAACTCTTTAATTTTTTAAAATGTCTAATTTAAGCCTTCGAATTCGGTAATACCTATATAACCAAAAATGCAAGGTAGACGATTCTCCAATGATTAATGATAACAATCTATTAGATTAAAAAATTTCAAAAAATATAAGGGTTTTGATGTACTAAAAAAATATAATAATGATTTTTTTAATGCTTAGATTAAAATAGATAGGGCTTTTTAAGCTTAGAAAGATTTAAATAAGATTTTCGGAAAAAATAAAGGTTTTAATAGACTAAAATATAATATATCTTTTTTAAGGAACTAAATGAAAATATATTATATTTTTATGAGCTTTTCCCTTTCATTTAATTGGGTTAAGCATACTAGCATAGAAATAACGGACCAAGGTTAATTTGGTCCAATTTGTGAAATTCTTCTTAGATGACTTGTAACTTGTAATTTGTACTCTTTTGTCGAGCTTCTTATAAGATGATGTTTTTTTTTAATATGTTGTGGTTTTTTTTAACGGCTAGAATGAAATAAAAATGCTAGCAAAGAGCTAGCAAACAAGAACAAATTAGTTCATCAGAGGATTAAGCATTCACTCATTTCAATTTTTACTAGCTTTACGATTCCTATTTCAATACCAGTTATAATTAAAAAAAAAAAAAAAAAAAAAACACAATAGAATCAAACATAAACTTTTTTCTTGTACTTTTTGTTGTTGCCAAAAACAAGATTGTTTCAATATGTCCATAAGACTCAAATGAGAGTAGCACAAATTGATGCCATGATCACCCTTTGGAACCGAGCGACCAAAATACCATCAATTCATATAAAAGAATCTGTCACTCCACGAAAAGTGGGAATTGACTTATCCACCCACTTAGCAACTTTAAGCCAAAGTAGACGTGCAACGTTACACTCGGAAAACAGATGATTCATCTCCTCTTGTTCCACTTCACAACACAGACAAAACAATGACTCAATAATTCATATAAAAAAATCTGTCACTCCGCGAAAAGTGGGAATTGACTTATCCACCCACTTAGCAACTTTAAGCCAAAGTAGACGTTCAACGTTACACTCGAAAAACAAATGATTCCTCTCCTCTTGTTCCACTTCACAACACGGACAAAGCAATGACTCAAGATCAACCCCTATTCTATCCAAGTTACATCACGTAGGATGCCTATCCAAAGCATTCAACTCAAATACCAAACACTAATTCGTACAAAAATGATTCGGATTTGCTAATAATAACATAGAGGTGTCAAAATTTGAATCATGTTCACCCAAACAAAATATTTCTACAAGAACGAAAGAAAACAATGAGATACCAATTTCACTAAAATATTTCTCTACGGATATGTTAGACAAGAATAGTAACCAGGATATGAGGAAAAAGGCGCGATGGTGGAGATATAATGTCCAAAAATGAGTCCCTATCGTCGTTGTTGTACTATGCATTTGCATCGTTGGCAAGTCGCAACGACTCTTGAGTATTGATATTGTTGTGGTTGCTCATTATGTTAGAGACATGTAAATCTTTTAAATTTCTCTATTAAAGATTTATATAAGATGTGCTTGAAAGAGTGTTACCTCTTCCAAGTATATATGCCTTCATTCTGTTGTTGATTTGAACTTTTATTCTATGCCCTTCCCACTTAATTGAGAGATTCTTGCTTAATTATAATGTTTTTGTTCTATAGAATCTATGGGGTTTTCTTAATATCATCAAGATTTTTCTCTTAAGGATGATCATTTTGGGTTTAAAAAATGATTAAATGCACATTTATGAAACAATATTCTTTTTTTGCTTTAATCGGTTCAACAAAGTGGTTTTTGTAAGAAATATGTGATGCTTTTTTGAGGGGTCAAAAGGGCCACATCGATAATGAGTTACAACATGGTTATATATAAATTTGTGTCAATTACGTAGTGGTGAAAAAGCCGAACAATGTAGCGCACATTGGTAAATGATAAAGCATTGTTACATAATTAAAT